TGACAGACTGGGCCCCGAAGACAACCGTGACAGACTGGGCCCCGAAGACAACCGTGACAGACTAGACCCCGAAGACAACCGTGACAGACTGGTCCCCGAAGATGACAGTGACAGACTGGTCCCCGAAGACAACAGTGAGAGACTGGGCACCGAAGACAACCGTGACAGACTGGGCCCCGAAGACAACCGTGACAGACTGGGCCCCGAAGACAACCGTGACAGACTGGGCCCTGAAGACAACCGTGACAGACTGGGCGCCGAAGACAACCGTGACAGACTGGGCGTTGAAGACAACAGTGACAGACTGGGCGCCGAAGACAACAGTGACAGACTGGGCGCCGAAAACAACAGTGACAGACTGGGCGCCGAAGACAACAGTGAGAGACTGGACACCGAAGACAACCGTGACAGACTGGGCACCGAAGACAACCGTGACAGACTGGGCCGAAGACAACCGTGACAGACTGGGCCCTGAAGACAACTGTGACAGACTGGGCGCCGAAGACAACCGTGACAGACTTGGCGCCGAAGACAACCGTGACAGACTTGGCGCCGAAGACAACAGTGACAGACTGGGCCCCGAAGACAACAGTGACAGACTGGGCGCCGAAGACAACAGTGACAGACTGGGCGCCGAAGACAACCGTGACAGACTGGGCCCCGAAGACAACAGTGACAGACTGGGCCCCGAAGACAACAGTGACGGACTGGGCGCAGAAGACAACAGTGACAGACTGGGCGCCGAAGACAACCGTGACAGACTGGGCACCGAAGACAACCGTGACAGACTGTGCCCCTAAGACAACAGTGAGAGACTGATTCCCGAAGACAACAGTGACAGACTGGGCTCCAAAGACAACTGTGAAAGACTGGGCCCCGAAGAGAACAGTGACAGACTGGGCGCCGAAAACAACAGTTACAGACGGGGCCCCAGTGTTCAGGATAAGACGTGAGTTCACCACAAAGATTCCAGTATGGGAAAGTGTGTTCACAGTGGGTAGCGCAGATGTTGACCCACCACCAAAAAGAAGGTACGCCTTGAAGGGTGTTTCAGCCACTTGATGCCAGGGTAAAACATCTGACTTCTGCCCAGTGGAAGGCGATGAATCATGTTATCACCACTTTGAGCATAGTGGAAGGCGATCAATCATGTTATCACCACTTTGAGCATAGTGGAAGGCGATGAATCATGTTATCACCACTTTGAGCATAGTGGAAGGCGATGAATCATGTTATCACCACTTTGAGCATAGTGGAAGGCGATGAATCATGTTATCACCACTTTGAGCATAGTGGAAGGCGATGAATCATGTTATTACCACTTTGAGCACAGTGAAAGGCGATGAATCATGTTATCAGCTCTTTGAGCATAGTGGAAGGCGATGAATCATGTTATCAGCTCTTTGAGCATAATGGAAGGCAATGACTCATGTTATCACCACTTTGAGCATAGTGGAAGGCGATGAATCATGTTATCAGCTCTTTGAGCATAGTTGAAGGCGATGAATCATGTTATCAGCTCTTTGAGCATAGTGGAAGGCGATAAATCATGTTATCAGCTCTTTGAGCATAGTGGAAGGCGATGAATCATGTTATCACCACTTTGAGCATAGTGGAAGGCGAAGAATCATGTTATCACCACTTTGAGCATAGTGGAAGGCGATGAATCATGTTATCAGCTCTTTGAGCATAGTGGAAGGCGATGAATCATGTTATCACCACTTTGAGCATAGTGGAAGGCGATGAATCATGTTATCAGCTCTTTGAGCATAGTTGAAGGCGATGAATCATGTTATCAGCTCTTTGAGCCGAACACAAGTAGAAAGCATGCAGTGGAAGCACGTGGGTTTCTGTTCAAATCCGGGGTATCTGATGCAACTTAAAATTGGTTCACGAAGATGATTTAGGGGAATGTTTTGGGGAAAATAATCGGCTGTGACAAAGACTATCCTCAACTGCCGCTGTCTATACAAGAAATAGCGTCTAAAAGTTTAAAGAGTAAAGGTCAATAGAATTGACTTCATTGGTGCAGGATGTATCCACGTAACTCGTTCTCCCTCCATAAAGTGGCCAGCCACCAACTGCTAGCGTCTCACGAAGCTTCCGAGTTTCACCGATGTGCTCTGTGGATATCCCTATAGATCAGTGGTTCTCAACCTGCGGGTCGCCACCCGTTTGTGGGGTCGAACGACCCTTTCTCCGGGGTCGCCTTAGACCATCTGAAAACACATTTCACTGAAGTTAAGGAGTAGTCAACTGTATGGTTGAGTGTGGCCACAACACAGGAAACTGTATAAAAGTGTGGCCACAACACAGGGAACTGTATTAAAGGGTGGCCACAACACAGGGAACTGTATTAAAGTGTGGCCACAACACAGGGAACTGTATTAAAGGGTGGCCACAACACAGGGAACTGTATTAAAGGGTGGCCACAACACACGGAACTGTATTAAAGTGTGGCCACAACACAGGGAACTGTATTAAAGGGTGGCCACAACACAGGGAACTGTATTAAAGGGTGGCCACAACACACGGAACTGTATTAAAGTGTGGCCACAACACAGGGAACAGTATTAAAGGGTGGCCACAACACAGGGAACTGTATTAAAGGGTGGCCACAACACACGGAACTGTATTAAAGGGTGGCCACAACACAGGGAACTGTATTAAAGTGTGGCCACAACACACGGAACTGTATTAAAGGGTGGCCACAACACAGGGAACTGTATTAAAGTGTGGCCACAACACAGGGAACTGTATTAAAGGGTGGCCACAACACAGGGAACTGTATTAAAGTGTGGCCACAACACACGGAACTGTATTAAAGTGTGGCCACAACACAGGGAACTGTATTAAAGGGTGGCCACAACACAGGGAACTGTATTAAAGGGTGGCCACAACACACGGAACTGTATTAAAGTGTGGCCACAACACAGGGAACTGTATTAAAGGGTGGCCACAACACAGGGAACTGTATTAAAGGGTGGCCACAACACACGGAACTGTATTAAAGTGTGGCCACAACACAGGGAACAGTATTAAAGGGTGGCCACAACACAGGGAACTGTATTAAAGGGTGGCCACAACACACGGAACTGTATTAAAGTGTGGCCACAACACAGGGAACTGTATTAAAGGGTGGCCACAACACAGGGAACTGTATTAAAGGGTGGCCACAACACACGGAACTGTATTAAAGTGTGGCCACAACACAGGGAACTGTATTAAAGGGTGGCCACAACACACGGAACTGTATTAAAGTGTGGCCACAACACAGGGAACTGTATTAAAGGGTGGCCACAACACAGGGAACTGTATTAAAGTGTGGCCACAACACACGGAACTGTATTAAAGTGTGGCCACAACACAGGGAACTGTATTAAAGGGTGGCCACAACACAGGGAACTGTTTTAAAGGGTGGCCACAACACAGGGAACTGTATTAAAGTGTGGCCACAACACACGGAACTGTATTAAAGTGTGGCCACAACACAGGGAACTGTATTAAAGTGTGGCCACAACACAGGGAACTGTTTTAAAGGGTGGCCACAACACAGGGAACTGTATTAAAGTGTGGCCACAACACACGGAACTGTATTAAAGGGTGGCCACAACACAGGGAACTGTATTAAAGGGTTGCCACAAGATAGGGAACTGTATTAAATGGTCCCCACAACATAGGGAACTGTATTAAAGGGTGGCCACAACATAGGGAACAGTATTAAAGGGTGTTGCTACTGCTACTACAAATACTGTTGCTACTGCTACTACAAATGTTGTTGCTACTGCTACTACAAATGCTGTTGCTACTGCTACTGCTACTACTACAAATACTGTTGCTACTGCTACTACAAATACTGTTGCTACTGCTACTGCTACTACAAATGTTGTTGCTACTGCTACTACAAATACTGTTGCTACTGCTACTACAAATGTTGTTGCTACTGCTACTACAAATACTGTTGCTACTGCTACTACAAATGTTGTTGCTACTGCTACTACAAATACTGTTGCTACTGCTACTACAAATGTTGTTGCTACTGCTACTACAAATACTGTTGCTACTGCTACTACAAATACTGTTGCTACTGCTACTGCTACTACTAAATACTGTTGCTACTGCTACTACAAATGCTACTGCTACTACAAACTGTTGCTACTGCTACTACAAATGTTGTTGCTACTGCTACTACAAATACTGTTGCTACTGCTACTACAAATGTTGTTGCTACTGTTACTACAAATACTGTTGCTACTGCTACTACAAATGTTGTTGCTACTGCTACTACAAATACTGTTGCCACTGCTACTACAAATACTGTTGCTACTGCTACTACAAATGTTGTTGCTACTGTTACTACAAATACTGTTGCTACTGCTACTACAAATGTTGTTGCTACTGTTACTACAAATACTGTTGCTACTGCTACTACAAATGTTGTTTCTACTGCTACTACAAATACTGTTGCTACTGCTACTACAAATACTGTTGCTACTGCTACTACAAATGTTGTTGCTACTGCTACTACAAATACTGTTGCTACTGTTACTACAAATACTGTTGCTACTGCTACTACAAATGTTGTTGCTACTGCTACTACAAATAGTGTTGCTACTGCTACTACAAATGCTGTTGCTACTGCGACTTCAAATGTTGTTTCTACTGCTACTACAAATGTTGTTGCTACTGCTACTACAAATTTTGTTGCTACTGCTACTACAACTATTTGTACTACTAATATTATTAATATTACAAATTACCAGTATTAACAATATTAACGTGACTCCATAGTTAATTGAACAATTCTGTTTGTTTTTTCTCCACAGGATATTGTCCCAGCTTTGTTTGCCAGGTACACACACCACAGATTCAGAGCCAGAATATTTCGCGCTACGTGGATTACTAATTCAACTTTCAACATTCCAGCGAGTTTTCATGCGATTCCACTAACTTGACCCCCAGACCAACCACTGGCATCGTAGCTCAGCCTCCCTTCTGCAATGGGCCAATCAGCAAAGGTCGTGCCCCATGCCAAGGTTAAGATTGACCATCATGCCAAACTGGCAGAGGAAATGAAGCAAAGGTTAAAGGTTGAGGAACTAGCAGAGAACATCGATGAGCTTGAAGAGGTGGTTGAAGATGTTTTCCCGATCCTTATGTTCACAGTCATCATCTCAACTGCCATTCTCATCATCTTCCTCATCCGGATGTACATGAGGTACTCCATTCCGAATCCAAGCAAGAATAAAATTAACGGAAAGACGGTTCTTATAACAGGTGGGTACCTGTGGCCTGTGTCCCTTGACCTCGTTTCGCGGGTTGACTATATCTAAGAACGGTACCAGGTCATGTCTGAGACAACATACTGACACTGACTCTATCACTCGCCCAGTGATGATTGGTCTCCCAAACATTTGGATGATTAAATGAGTGAGTCGGAGATTGGGAGAGTAAGTGAGTGGATAAGTATGTGAGTGAGTTGTTTGCATATATCAATGAGTGAGTCAGTGATTGACTGGGTGGGTGACAGTGGGTAAGTCAATTATATTTTTCTACTGTCTTCCAACGTCTAATCAACCACACTTCTCCCCCCTACCCCACACACACATACACACACATATACGGTGTAGCCATGTAGAGCACACACTACATGATAACAACTGTTGCTCAGTCATACTAAAAAGCTTTACACTGAGAAATATCTGAGGCTTCTTGATCATAACAAGATAATAAACACATTAAAAACAGATTTCCAACTGTTGGACCCAAACCCCACAAACAGACCAGGTACCGGCGCCAACCAATTCCGTCAAATGATTGGCTGAGCCAGGATCCAAGTGCCATAACTCTTCTGTGCCTCTTATCGACACGCACACATGTTCTCTATCTGTAATTTGATTTTCTGCCCCTGCGCTGCACAAACAACCTTGGTGCTATTTCTAATGTCCTCTACAGCCTTGTCTTGCCTTTGTTTGTTTCACCTGGCCTCCAGCCCGCCTTACGCCAGCCGTTTTCTCTTAGGGCATATCTGCCCTGGCAATGTTGGAATGGCGTTACTGGCTTGGGAATAAACGGCAAAGGTAGTTTTATAATATATGCTGACGCTGGAGTTTGATGGTATTTGTTTCCAATAACCAGTGTTTCAAAACTAAAACCCATATTTCAGCTGACTATAATCGTGGGGTTTCAATCTCCCAGTGCGTTTACACACGGCTGTGAAACGCGGACCTTACCATTGGAACTTGGACAAGACAATACAGTGGAACTCCAACATTCCTCATTATTGCGTTTCTGCGGAGGGTGGCCTTTGAGAAAAGGTGAATATCAAAGGAAATGTTCATGTTAGAATCAACTAGCAATGGCTTAGTCCGTTCCCAGTTCTGAATTTTGTCTATCTATTCCTTAGTCCTAAAAAAGTTTCACTCCAAAATCGATTTCGGAAACATTACAAGTTCATTGTCATTACTTAGTGAGCATGGGGTTACTATTACTTCATCATTTTGACAGCTTTGTACCCGTCCTGATGACGTCAATATACACTAGGTCTGTATTAATGCAGAACCCAAATTTTAAAAAGAGATTTATCTTTTAAACTGGGGGTTTTGTAATTCATCCCATCTTGAAAACTGGGGGTTTTGGTCGACTCGTGAAATATAAATGGGTATATCTACCTTTGTGAATAATGAAGCGGAACATAGTTCTGAACGCAGAAAAAAAGTGGGGGGAGGGGTGCAAAAATAAGTAGTAGCAAAAGAATTAAAAGAAGAAGAAGAAGAAGTAGCAACATCAGCAGCAGCAGCAGTAGTAATAGTAATAGCAGTAGTAGCAGCAGCAGTAGCAGTCGTAGTAGTAGTAATAGTAGTAGCAGCAGCAGTAGTAATAGTAGAGAAGGGCCTTGTTGCGTGAAAAGAGAAATCAGTCGGGAAAGGTGAGTAGGGTGGGGGTTTGAGGGGTGTGAGAAAATGTTGCAGATAAGTTAAGAGCGAAGTTTCTGAGAAGAAGTGTGTTAAGTACATGTAGTAACAACAATGACCCTGAGACCCAGTGTTGTAACTGCGGAAGATTTCTTAACGAGAGACAGTCTCGCTAGTCACAATCACCATTGCCATGGGCTGAGGTTGTCATTCCTCTCTCTGGTATGGAAAGGCAGATAGAAAAAGAAAGAAAGAATAACCAAAAGGACCTTTTCCCACGCCTTTATGCTTGTTGGGCTTCTGGGCTAGATCTATATTTTCTAGACCACTTTGACCTTGGTTGGTGACGGAGTCAGCATCACTTCGGCTAAAACAGACAGATGCTAGCAGTAATAGTAGAGGTTATTTTTGTTGTTGTAATATACTTGTTATAATGGTAGTGGTGATGGTGATCATAGTGGCAGTAATAGTTACGTGTTGGTTGTGTGCGTTTTCGCGGAGCCACGCTTACATAAGTGATAGTTGCAGCTGCATGCCGGGACAGTAGACAGCGTGCAATTCCTAACAGTGTCAGTTTTATTTTCCAGTAGCTACCGATGAAACGCTCTGAAATACCTCCAAGTGTTGTCACAATCGATGCTAGGAAATTTCTGAATGTTCCAGCAAGGAAAGTCAACGACAGAGGCAAATTGTCCCTGCTTGTTAGCACAGTGTTGCACCGTGCGACTAAAAGCACGTCCATGTGGGACTGTTATTGCGTCTGTAGTGCGTTTCTAAAGTCGCGCTCCCACACTTTAACAAATATCTCCAAACTTTAAGTACGAAACAAGAGGAATTTTTGCATGTGGCCTTTGATTTTCCATGTCCTATGATTTTGTAATTTACACCGGAACTGCTTTTTCTTAAAGCAGCTAATTTCGTTGACATTTATTTGACAAATAATGTTTGTGGTCTAAACTATACAGCAACCGACGCAAGCTTAAAGACAGGAAATTACTTTAGAAAGTACAGCAATTCGTGTTGGTTGTTTTGGTATCCTGTCCCACATACAATGATGATGAACATTCACGGGATAATCCAGGGAGGATAAAGTGGCAGACGACCACCTGGGAGTGAAACGCCTGCAGTCTAAAGTTTGCAAAAGTTTCCGCTACTCAGTTAACTGTAAGCATGCTAATTGTTTGCGTCGAATCGTTTTTTTTTTTTTTTTTTTAAAAAGAAACTAAAATAGCTTGACTTTTGCATGAAAACAAATTCTTGCAAGTACAGTGATAAAAAACAGGTCGCATGCCAAATTTCAACAACTTTCACAAAGTAGTCACTGAGTTGCACATTTTTAAAGTTAGTTACGACTTCTGCAACAGACTATAATGCCTGTTTTACCACTTTTACGGCTGTACGGTTGGTAGTATTCACTCTGAGGATTAAGGATTACCTGCCTAGTCCAGCCGCCACGAACTGTGCAGGGTGGAATGTTGATTTGTGCCCCCCGACTGTTGATATTTGATGTGTTTGTCTCCTCCTGCAGGGGCCACCAGTGGTCTGGGCAAAGCCACGGCCCTGGAACTAGCCAAGAGAAATGCCAGAGTTCTCATCACCGGCAGGGAGAAGGTCAAGGTTGAAGCTATAGCCAGAAATATCCGGTGAGTTACATGCAAAAGTCGGAATTGTGTTTCTGTTTTTGTGTATTCTTTCTTCGAGCTCCTGAATGTAGCATAGCGTCCCCATCTGTGGTCGGGTTAGTAGGGGCTGGGGGGCTGGTTGAGGCTTTTGCCAACATCACACTGATTCTTAAACAGTGTTTGTGGTGGGACATTTACATGGACGCTGGAGCAGGGGTGGACAAACTATCACCTAGGGAAAAAAACTGCATTACAACGGCTGGTGTAAAATTGATATATAACATGCCCTATACTTTCCCTCAGTAACGTGATGTCTGTAAATGAAACCACTATCAACAGTCACATTTAGAAATATATAAAAGCCTTCAGTGTGTGAGTGGATCTGGACAGAGGCTCGCTAAGGAATTATAATCTTAGAATATCCCAAAAATAGATCGTGTTACGAGAAAATCTGGCTGTTTTGTTTATAATGGATTATTTTCTATATGGCCCGCTACCAAGCTAGTAATTTTACATTTGGCCCGCGGATCAAAATAGGTTGGCCAACCCTGCGCCAGAGAGTGAACGCTTTCTGAGAAATATAAACTGCTTCTTAAATGTTGCCAGTCCGTCTGCTGTCTTTTTTGCCAGTCTGCTGTATACAGCTTTTACCTCCCCGGCAGCGTCAGTGATAGTATCATGGATGGTAACCCCTAGGTATCCTCTTCAACCCCCATTACCACCATCATCATTATCATCACGTGTCGTGCCAGTAAGACTAAGCTGCTTCTTTCAACACCTCACACGATCCTCAGAATCACCGATTAGTTCAACCCTTCGAAGGCCTAACAATACACATATAGTGAAGGCAGACTTACCAGCAGTGGAAAGTAGCGAGGAAATTGTGACGAGAACAAATCTGATGGCATACCTTGGAGTGAGGTTTGATCGCAGCCCATCCTTCAAAGAACACGTTGACCATGTCATAACAAAAGCACGCAAAGGCCTGTCAGCAATGAGGGTCCTGGCTGCCGCTAGCACTGAGCAGAGACTGCTTCTGCTTCTGTTCCAGGGACTTGTACTTTCTCCCATCGAATATGCTCTTGCCATCCTCACTGTCAGCCATACTCAGATTGAAAGACTTGAGAAGGTGCAAAATGAAGAAATGCGCATTATTCTAGGGTGCACTGGAGACACTTCTTCTGTAGCAGTGAGGTACCTTCTTGACTTCCCTACCATGAACTACAGGATCGAGATCTTGAGGGCTCGTGCATACCTCAAGATAAGCTCAGATCTGAAGCATCCTTTGCACCACATGCTCTTAAAAAAAAAAAGGCAATAGGCTTAAAAAGGCATATCGTGGCTGGGTAGGGCAGAGGATGACATCATGTAGGTTTGCAGCCTTACAGACATCCATCCAGGTGAGGAGTGGATCATCATCATCAGGTGCCTTGCCGACCGGCGTGGGCCATCATGCCTCTCCATAATCTGCGATCCCCTGCAGCATGTATCAGTTCGTGTGCCGACACACCTCCATGCCATGCAACAAGACTGTCAAGCATCTTCTCTCGTTGTCTTCCTCTGTCTCTCCTTCCACAAATATTTCCAGTGGTCACAACATGTTATATTTTCCCTCTTCTCATAACATGGCCGAAAAATGATGACTGTCTCCTTCTGATGTCTATGATAAGTTGTCTTCGGGCTCCCGCCTGTTTCAAAAACCTCTTGGTTGCTCTTTTTGGCTGACCAAGACATTTTAAGCATTCTTCTGTAAAACTACATCTCTGAGGCCTCAAGAAATTGTTTGACCTGCCTCCTGATTGTCCAGGATTCACAGCCATATGCTAAAACTGGATGTATGTAGCAAGCAAGAATTCGTTTTCTAACTCTCAATGACAAGGATATATTGCACAAGATGTTTTTCATTTTATAAAATGTAGTTTTTGCCTGTCCAAATCTGTTTCTTATTTCAGTTATTCATCTTCCATCTAATGTTATCCATGTGCCCAGATACTTAAATTTCTGTACTTGTGGAGTGGATACCAGAGTCTAAAGCTCCCAATATCATATTCTCCTGTGTCGTGACACTTGATAGGAGTTGTCAGGAGAAGAATCCAGCTGCTGTCAAAGCCGAGGTATGCGTGCTTATTAGTGACAAAGTCAGTTGAGATAAATGTGGTGATCTTCCTCGTTAGACATAAGCGTGATCCTCGAGAACGCCCACATGAGCGTGAGTCTCGAGAACGCCCACAGGATCATGATTCACGAGAACGCCCATACGAGCGTGCCTCTCGTGTAAACATCATTCACCTACACGGATTTGAGGGGGATAAACTGGAGGGCTTAGCAGTCAGTCGGAGGCAGTCAGAGTCGAAGAGAGAAAAGAGAGAGAGAGAGAGAGCGAGAGACTCAGAGACCAAGTCAGGGTCCGTGATATCTCTCTGGAGTCTAACAGACAAGAATACGGTACGACTATCAGGCATTAGGGTCTGAGTAAGTGTTGAGGTTGCGGTACTGGTCGAAGGTATGGTCCCGCTGGCGAAGTAAGTCCAGTGGACGGAATTCTCCGGTAGTACCTGTTCTGGGTGGCGACGTAGTGAAACGTAGGAGGACCACTAGTGAAACAGAACAGTGGGGTGATGCCGACGAGAGCTGTGTGCTAGAGGGGACTTATGGTAGAAGTCCTGTCTGTCATCGGAGCCCTTCGACAAGCTGACGACAGCTGTGGGTTTTCGGAGTACGGCAAGGGAAGTCCGTCTCCAGTCAGCCGTGTTGTCTGCTGAATTAATATCAAGGTCCAGTGAATGGGAGAATTCGTCCTGTTCAGCTGTACGGTGCATCCAGAGTGTGGGACGCTGTAGTCCTTGGAGCTGTAGTGGTCAAGGAGAGGTCGCTACAAATTAAGAGAGAGAGAGAGAGAGAGAGAGAGAGAGAGAGAGAGAGAGAGAGAGAGCGAATGAGGACAAATGGATTATGTACGAATGTCAACTGTGATCAATAACTACGTCTCTGCATTTGTGTCATGTATCTTGTTGGGAAAAAATGTATGACGGTGTCATCGTCGTCGAGTTCTATTTCTAAGAGAGGAAGCGGAAGTGTGCTGACTAGTGGTAACTCATTTAGCACACAACAGTGCAGTTACGTTCATATTCGTCCCAGTGCATGCAGGAGTTGTTGGTGATAAAAGAGCTAATAGACTGGCAGGTGCTGAATTAATTGAAGATGGCCGACCCATGGATCACGCAGACATTGTCATTGCCCTTAGAGAGATAGGACGTTCTGGGGATTTTGACGTTATTTGTCCAGAGGGTCCACAATCTAGTTCTTCATTACGTTCTGTCCTGTGCCACCCGTTTCATATCACAGGTAGAATCCAGTTCATCGCCTTTGGCTTTTCTCACCAACGTTCGCTTTAGGGTTTTACGTCTTTGTTACCTCAATACATTTGTTTCTCATTCCAGTGCCTGTTTTGTGATTCTCCTCTTGCTTCGCCAGTGAGATGTGAAATATAGCGTCACCTTCTTGTTCTTATATTGTATTAAACCACAATGCTGTATTGACTGGCACTCAGGGAAAGAAGCAGGAAGACAGGGGGACACACTAGATAATTTAGCAACAGAAAGCTATAGTTACCATACCGGGAATGGAACCTGTCACTTTCAAATGACGACAAGTGTACTTGGATGCATCTTGTTTGTCTGATAACTGTTGATACCAGGTGGACGTGTCAAGCGTCATTGTGTTCTGCAGAAAGCGGTGTTGGAGGGTGCATTTCCTGAAACAGAGGGAGAGGCCAAGCATCGCGACCTTGGATATAGGACATTGAAGATGCAATGTCAATGAGAACACATTGGCCTGAAGAACTGACTAGAGAGAGAGAGAGAGAGAGAGAGAGAGAGAGAGAGAGAGAGAGAGAGAGAGAGAGAGAGAGAGAGGAAGCCGGAGAGAGAGAGACTTTCACCCTATCTAATGGAGTTGTTGATTAAATCATTATTGATACCAGGGAGCTCATTTACTGATTTTCTTATTTCATAGCACACTGGCAATACCCATAGATGCTCTGTCTCCCGCCGCAAGTGTCTTGAAGTGTAGATGCTAACTGTTCCAGTAGGTCACTGATTATAAACCCGATCCTCACCTGTTTCCTGGTTCAAACATTCTTACACATGTTATGTCATCTAATCTGTTATCTTCTATCGGTATTTGTTCATAAATAGTCTTCAGAACATTTCCTGTGTCGAGTGTTCCTGTAGCCATCGCCTGTGTAGCCAGAACATCCCCTCTTTCATTGCCTCTCGCTCCTGCACCTCCCAGACAATTTATCCACATGGGTCCCTGTAATGTTGACATGATATTGCTTGGTATCCACTCACGCCACGTTTGTTATTAGGTTACATTACATGCGGTGTTGATTACACTGTCTGAAGTGTCTGACATAGTTGGCATCAATACTTGAACTAGCTAGGTAAACCCTGTGTTGTGACCTCTATTTGACAGAAAGAAAACCGGGAACCAGCACGTGAACGCCCTACAACTGGACCTGGGCAATCTCCGCAACATCCGAGAGTTCGTCGAGGAGTTCAACAGAACCGAGAAGTCCCTGCACGTGCTCATCAACAATGCAGGTTTTGTGTTCATTTCTTCTTATCGTTTCATTTGTGTTCTAAAATCTTTTAGAGCGATTTCTTATCTTTTATTATATTATTTTTTTTACCTTACCTGGGGTAGTGATTTCAGTCATCTCTTCTGTAAGGATCTTTATACATTTTTTTTGGGGTCATATTTCTGCAAAAACATCACCCAATTCTAGACTCCCACGCACACACACACACACACACACACACACACACACACATGCACAACAATAATAATAATAATAACAATATTAAAACACTTGGACATCAGTAATATTTGGTAAACTTGTGTTCTGCAGGTGTCATGGTTTCATTAATTCTAAATATTCTGATCTGGAATGCTTCACGAAAGTGTTTGACTTGTGCTTCTGAACCCTTTCCCCCATAGCCAGAATGTACATTGGAAATGCAATGGACACTATAAATATGCTAGTTATGTAGGTAGGTAGTTGTACCCCACCAGGTCATCACATAAGATATACATCCGGGGACACAAAATGCCACCATGCGGATGAGGATCACCCCTGGAGAGGTCCCAGAAACCCCTTTCAGCCGTTAGACCATATTTATGGCTAGGCTATATTTATGGCTAGGCTATATTTATGGCTCGGCTATATTCAGAGCCCCGGCAAAATCCAGGGTAGGGCTTTAAAAAAAACAAAAATACGACATCCCACGAGGAGACGGATACTATATCATAAGGTATATGCCAGTTATAAACATGAAAGTTGAACAAGATAATGATGTTTTGAAAACCACTGACACCACTTTTACTACTACCCAACGTCCGGCTCTCTAGCGTAGTTGACTAAACCGGATTGCGCAGAGACCGGATGACGAACTCCTTGTGGTCCGGGTTCAATCCCGGGGGTTAGCAGGAAAGCCACATTTTCTCCCAGATTTACTGTATTTACAATGGAATCAAGGCCGAAAGGTTGCGATATCAATAAAACCGAGCCTAAGGGTTAACAACTCATGGCTTCTGGATACTAAAACAAACAACTACCCAACACCACCACTACTACTACTACTTCTTCTGCTAAGGCTACTACTACTACTACTACTACTACTACTACTACTACTACTATTACTACTACTACTACTACTACTACTATTACTATTACTACTACTACTACTACTTCTACTACCAACACAATACTCTAAAGCAACATACTCCAAAAAAGATAGACTATAAAGAATGATGCACGGTGAGATATTACAAGCCGTGGTTACATTCCAGGCGCCATGTCTGTTGTTGTTGTCATGGTCATAAATGTCAGTGGATGTTGGTACGTGTTCGTGGCCAGGACTTTCAGTGAAAACATGGCGTTATAGTGGTATTCATTTACATTGCAAGTTCAACAACACAGCTGACCTTGAACTCAGGAGTATCCACTCACAGCACAGACTATAGCCAGAAAGCTCCAAGCCGAGGTTCTTGAATAATAATTGTTTGCGGTTGGTGGACGATCTGCCCTGGCGTGGATCGTCTTCGAAGGATCGGTACTGGAAAATAAATAAATCATTTGACGAAAGCAGGAAAATCTTAAAATGGGGCAGCAAAATCCAAAACGCGGAAAATGCAGTTGTCGCGGCTAAACAATTGATTCCTGTCCAGCGAACGATGAAAAAGGTTGAAACCAGTTCACTTGAGTTAAAAGTGACATCACACAGCACTCCGGACATTCTCAAAAGCGCTTCATCCTCATATGCAGAAGCCAGTGATGGTGCCAGTAGGTTGATTATATTTCCATCTAGCCATACATCTTTCTATGCAGTAACGGCCAGACCCCCTAGTAGCTGCCGGTCGTAAAGTTCTCTTCTCGACGTAATTATCACAACAGAAAAAGACGAAATATATCATCTGCTCATATGCCATGCCACGACGCTATGATGGTCGTGACCATCCACAACTTGATGTCTCGTGTTTTTTCACTCAGATCTGGTACAATCAACATACCACGCCATGATGTGAAACTGTCCAGTATCTCTCGGTCTCACTCTGCCTTTTTTCCCCACAACTTTCCACCATCACGGTGTACTCCAGTTTTCCCCTTCTCATGGCTTGACGAAAGAATGTAGACTATCTACTTCTGACGTGCGCAATTAATTTTCTTTGTGAACCAGTTTCTTCCAAGACATACTCATGACTCTTACATATATAGAGAGAGATCCTTCAGTTCTCCGATGACCAACCGGCCGTTGTGTGATTAACTTCACAGACTGATAATCAACCCGGACCCAGATGGTGGAGAACTTGTAGTCTTGGAAGGAATGAGTTTGGCATAGAATGTGAACATAGGGGCTTTTACGCCACATTTGTTTGCATTGTAGGCACAGGAGACGTGCAGATAACAGGTACCGTTGGTGACACTAGCCCCAGTACAGGATTCCTGAGTCGAACATTTGACGCAACAGCCGACATGTGTGGTCCGGTTACTTGTGAAGGTCATGCACTTATAGTAGATTCTGTAGGACACGTCGCACAGTTGCACCGAGCGAAACATGGTCACCTGGTTGATTCTCAGCAGGGCGGGAGATGACAGGGCTAAAACACAGACCAGTGTCACAAACCTGATCATAGCCATGTGAAGACCCCAAAGATGGCTTCAGAAAGAAGGTTGATGGTCTTTTTGCGACTTATTTTCCATTTCTTTTCTTTATTTCCACAGTGTATGTCTTTTCTGATGGCTCTGTCACATTTAATACTCTGCTACAAAACTTCCGTGACGTTGTAATGTTTGTTCCTGCAAAATGAATATTCAAAACATGAAATCAGCAAAAATATTTCAATGTTAACATTTGCCAGTGACAGTTTGAGGACCACTGAAGTCAGGGAACCAAAGTGAAATGCTTTCAAGTACACATTCATGGCCCAACCGGACAGACCGACTGGGGCAATAGACTGTGAGCTGTGTGTGACATTCATGGCCCAACCGGATAGACCGACTGGGGCAATAGACTGTAAGCTGTGTGTGACATTCATGGCCCAACCGGACAGACCGACTGGGGCAATAGACTGTGAGCTCTGTGCGACATTCATGGCCCAACCGGATAGACCGACTGGGACAATAGACTGTGAGCTGTGTGTGACATGTAATGGACCGACAGAATAGACCGACTGGGGCAATAGACTGTGAGCTCTGTGTGACATTCATGGCCCAAACGAATAGACCGACTGGAGCAATAGACTGTGAGCTGTGTGTGACATTCATGGCCCAACCGGATAGACCGACTGGGGCAATAGACTGTGAGCTGTGTGTGACATTCATGGCCCAAACGGATAGACCGACTGGGGTAATAGACTGTGAGCTCTATGTGTGACATTCATGGCCCAACCGGATAGACCGACTGGGGCAATAGACTGTGAGCTCTGTGTGACATTCATGGCCCAACCGGATAGACCGACTGGGACAATAGACTGTGAGCTGTGTGTGACATTCATGGCCCAACCGGATAGACCGACTGGGACAATAGACTGTGAGCTGTGTGTGACATTCATGGCCCAACCGGACAGACCGACTAGGGTAATAGACTGTGAGCTGTGTGTGACATTCATGGCCCAACCGGATAGACCGACTGGGACAATAGACTGTGAGCTGTGTGTGTGACATGTAATGGCCCGACAAGATAGACCGACTGGGACAATAGACTGTGAGCTGTGTGTGACATTCATGGCCCAACCGGATAGACCGACTGGGACAATAGACTGTGAGCTGTGTGTGACATGTAATGGCCCAACCGGATAGACCGACTGGGGCAATAGACTGTGAGCTGTGTGTGACATTCATGGCCCAAACGGATAGACCGACTTGAGCAATAGACTGTGAGCTGTGTGTGACATTCATGGCCCAACCGAATAGACCGACTGGATGAATAGACTGTGAGCTGTGTGTGACATTCATGGCCCAACCGGATAGACCGACTGGGGCAATAGACTGTGAGCTGTGTGTGACATGTAATGGACCGACAAGATAGACCGACTGGGGTAATAGACTGTGTGACATTCATGACCCAGCCGGATAGACCGAGGGGAGCAATAGACTGTGAGCTCTGTGTGACATTCATGGCCCAACCGGATAGACCGACTGGGGTAATAGACTGTGAGCTGTGTGTGACATTCATGGCCCAAACGGATAAACCGACTGGAGCAATAGACTGTGAGCTGTGTGTGACATGTAATGGTCCAACCGGATAGACCGACTGGAGCAATAGACTGTGAGCTGTGTGTGACATGTAATGGTCCAACCGGATAGACCGACTGGAGCAATAGACTGTGAGCTGTGTGTGACATGTAATGGCCCAACCGGATAGACCCACTGGGTCAATAGACTGTGAGCTGTGTGTGACATTCATGGCCCAACCGGATAGACCGACTGGGGCAATAGACTGTGAGCTGTGTGTGACATGTAATGGACCGACAAGATAGACCGACTGGGGTAATAGACTGTGAGCTGTGTGTGACATTCATGACCCAACCGGATAGACCGACTGGAGCAATAGACTGTGAGCTCTGTGTGACATTCATGGCCCAACCGGATAGACCGACTGGGGTAATAGACTGTGAGCTGTGTGTGACATTCATGGCCCAACCGGATAGACCGACTGGGGTAATAGACTGTGAGCTCTATGTGACATGTAATGGCCCAACAGGATAGACTGACTAGGGCAATAGACTGTGAGCGCTATGTGACATGTAATGGACCGACAGGATAGACTGACTAGGGCAATAGACTGTGAGCTGTGTGTGACATGTAATGGACCGATAAGATAGACCGACTGGGGCAATAGACTGTGAGCTGTGTGTGACATGTAATGGCCCAACCGGATAATGAATAATTGACAACAATAATGTATTATTAATAATAAAATTGGTAATAAGATGTATTAGTAGCAGAGGTGGCAGCAGCAGAAGTAGTAGTGGATGTAGTAGTAGTAGTAGTAGTAGTAGTAGTAGTAGTAGTAGTAGTAGTAGTAGTAGTAGTAGTAGT